ATGTACGATATGTTTCATTAGTCATTATACAGTACACTAATAAACAAAACATTTATTGTTCAGACAACCCATAATTTAAGTCGATGAGAAGTTCGTTTCTTGTTGAAAAGAAAAACAACCCACGATTCGTCGCATCTACTCGTTATCCTCAACATCATGAAGGCGATACCTAATTCAAAGTATAGCATAATCCAACAGTATCAGTAACCCAGGAATGCTTTCATTGTTCCTTCTGTTCCTTATCTTGTAAGAGTTCTTAATAAGGATAATAGTACAGAGACACAGAACAACAGTAAGAAAGTCCCACAGAAAACAACAAGAAAGAATGAATCTGACCTTAATCTGAGAGATGATTTTTGATCAAGCTTGCCACATATTGAGCAATATGAAGTGAGCCAGCTTCAGAGCAGCAAAATGCATGCTTATGACCCTCCTCCCTTTCAACTGATACATCAACTTCAGGGACCTGCTTGCAAATCTGTGGACCAAAGACAACATAAACTATCAAAGTAGAACTTGAAATCACCATGGCAGTCTCATAAATTTGAGCCCTTTAGCCCCTTTCCTTTTTCTCAAATGGCTTATCGTTGTACTTCCCGATTCCGATTGTCATAAACGATATGAACTATAACCTCTTCAGCAAAAGTATTTGAAGAAACTTACATTCGTCCAGCAGAATTGGTTGACAAAATGAAAATGGAAGAACAGTTCATATCTTACCTCCTCAAACACATGCATAGGAGCCCAGTGATCATCCTTACAGAACAAAAATGATAATTTCTCACTTGCTTTCTTCATAAATTTCCAATCTGGTGTTTCTGAAAGCTGAACATTGTCCATAAACAATCAGATGTAGAAATTTGATTGATTATTGATATTAGGCTTTGTTCTGTGTGACTAGTCATTTGTTTACATCTTTTTATTGAACTAATTGTCTGCTTTGACCCGTTATGTATCGCCGTTAGCCTCAAGATTTTAAAACGCGTCTGCTAGAGAGAAGTTTACACACTCTTATAAGGGATGATTTGTTCCCCTTTCCAACCAATGTGGGATCTCACAATCCACTCCCCTTGGGGGGCCCAACGTCTTTGCTAGCACACCACCCAGGAGGTACTAGTCAGAGTAGGACTAGACCCTCTCCATAGTAGACGAACAACCGTGAGGCTGATGGCGATACATTACAGGCCACAACGGACAATATCTAACAGCTATACTATATTTCAGATAGTGCAACGCCTCAAAGTAAAAGATTAGAACAAAAACTAAAACAAGCTAGGCACTTCTCTAAATGATTAAAAAATGTTATGCAAATGAGATTTACGATTAATTATGGTTCGTACAATCATATGCTTACAAATCTCATGGCATCCAATCATATGCTTATCTCATGGCATCCAATACGACTAAACGAAAGTGATTGTTCATAGTGAATACCTTCTCAAACTCCGTCTTTGCCATATATAGCACATTTCGCATCGTATGGTACTGTCGAAAACAAAGATAATATTCCAAATATCAGAACGAACAGTCATGTCGTTGAACCAAAATTTGTAGCCAGTACGAGCGGATACTAAAAAAGCAAATACTAAGGATAATATATTAGATTTCATTTCACCTTTAGCAAGTGAGAGCAAGCAGCCTCACTAGCAGTTCTAGACCATGACTTCCCAATAGTTTTTTTCACAACAAAACTTGAAGCTCGAACCGGTAATACGCCCAACAGCGCGGCAAAAGAAGAAAACAAAGTTGATAGCAGAGGGGATCTGCACAAAATTTTCAACCCAGCAGAGCTCAGAGAGACAAAACTTGCAATACCAAAACATATAATGACCACATAGGTTAGCCTTAATGGATGCTTAAAGGATTAAGGTCCAGTTTGTGGGCAATGAATGGAAGGACTTCTACATGGTCCAGTTTTATTAACCATAAGGTCATATGAACCAATATTTAACATCCTTAACTGGTTAACAACCAAGCACATATCCATTAGTCTAACTTCTAAGCGACTCCAAATTGGCTCAACCCGAGTGCACATGCACTGGACAACACAGATACTCTCCTACACGACCAACAGATTCCGAAAATTTCCAAATTACACAAGTTTGTGGTCAAGCCAACAAAGCCATGTCACGCGGTGCGGTGTACAGCTGTTTGAGAAAGTAAAACTTTCGAGATTCGAACTCTTGAACTCAAAGTCCATCAACTATCATCTATATGTCTCATTTGCTACCAACTATATAGAGTATCTAAAATGTAGATGCGGGAGGTAGAATTCATGTTATCAGACAAAATAACGCACGTACCCTGCGAGTTTTTCGATAAGAAGTTGCCAACGTGATTGTCTGTTCACCATCATAAATGGATACAATCCAATGCAATACACCACCTGTAGGATCAAGAAGATTTCCATTGAACCATGTCTTGGAAGTTAGGAACACATAAGATGCACAAAGAGTTTAAGGCGATACCCGATCCGGGAACCAACGGCACAATTCAATGGAGATAGGCGATCCAATAGAATGCCCAACCTTCAAAGATAACTAACGAGTCAGTTACCACGGAAAATATAATGTACAAGTACAAACAATCATGTGGGCTGTCTTGTTATTAGACAAGTAACAAGAAGAGTACAAGCAGCACAACAAGCAACTATTGTGTATGGGCAAAGAATAAGACATGTACACGGATAATATCGAAACGATACAAACGAAAATTTTGCACCGTGCAATTCTTTTATGACTATCGTGAAAATATAGCATCAATTTTGTAAATACCAGTAGTAATGGAATTTCTTTGTTCTGTAGCTCTTGTTTAACAAATTCAATCTGCAAAAGAAAGATGAATATAGTTCAGCCCCATTCAGAATTCTGATATCAACCCTTGAAATATGAAAGGGAAAGGGACCTGCAATGCTATCTCCAATTACAAAGCTATCTTGGACATGCAAAATGAAGTCCACTAGCTTAGCTTATAAAGGAACTTTAAATTTTTGATGGACTAGTTGTATAACAGCCTAAGCTCACCACTAGCAGATATTGTTCTCTTTAGATTTTCCCTTTCGGGCTTCCCCTCGAGGTTTTAAAACGTGTTTGCTAGGGAGAGGTTTCCACACTCGTATAAAGAATGCTTCGTTCCCCTCTCCAACCAATGTGGGATCTCACAATCCACCCCCTTCAGGGCCCAGCGTCAATGCTAGCATACCACCTGGTGCCCATGCCCCTTCGGGGTTCAGCCTCCTCATTGGCACATCACTCGGTGTCTGGCTCTAATATCATTTTTAATAGCCCAAACCCACCGCTAGAAGATATTGTCCTCTTTGGGCTTTTCCTTTCGAGTTTCCCCACAAGGTTTTAAAACGCGTCTGCTAGGAAGAGGTTTCCACACCCTTATAAAAAATGATTCATTCCCCTCTCCAACCGATGCGGGATCTCACGAGTTGCCTCCTTAAGTCAATCAAATCGACGGAGAAAAACATACAGTTACCTTATGATCAATCTGTTCTTGTAATGAAAATAACCTTCCACCTTCCCAGTCCTGAAAGAGAAGAAAGATCCGTATCCATTGCATAAAACCACTGGGGAAATTTATAAAATTAAGCATAACCGATATAAACTTTACATAACCCTTGACCAAGTACCTTGTTCGTTTGACATATATGTCCAATAGCTGACAGTAGACAGAAGCAGGGTCAAAGAAAAAGTGTAAGCTCAAATATACAACAAGATTTAATGCTTTCTTAGAAAAAAAAATGAAAAGGATATGAACAAAGTCAAAAACTCATGATCTTGCCTGTTATAGAAACACGGCCTCCAAGCAACTGATACAATGATTCCACAAAATCTTTATAAAACGAAATAATCCCTGTCTTAGAACAAACCCCAAAACAATCCACATTCAGAAGTTAAGTAGAAATCAACAAAATCATCGAAAACCCACATCGAAAAAGCCAAATGCACCTGGATTTCCAGGTATGAACAATACGTGCAATGATGGATTATCCGAGTGAATCTCCAGCAATTCATTGGTGTAGCTATCAAAACCCAGAAAGGGTAAGGCGATTTAGTTCATAGAAAACGAAATTCCAGAGAAATTTCAGTAAACATAAACGAGAATCAATTACCCTGATACATTGCATAAACGAAACTCCACACGCCTTCTACTAAACGATTGCAGATCTTCTTGATCCATATGGACAAACGAACAACTCCAAAAATTGTTCAACCTCAACGATTTTCCAAGTGAATTAGCTGGCTGTGAAAGGGAGCAGTGTGTTGACTATGGTGCAACACTGTGATGAAAAATTGAAGAAACTACGCAGCACGTAGCATTACATTAAAAAAAAAAATGGCTAATGAACTGTTTAGCTTAAAGTAATGATAATGAACATCGTGAATTTGGTGGATCGAACGGTGAACATGTCTTCCCTTTATTACTCTTATATTTTATTTATTTATTATTATTCAAAAATATTTTTTAAGCATTTAAATCACCATTTTACATTTATTTTTAAATACATAGTTTTTATTAAAATAAATAAAGAAATAAAATATTATAATAAATTCAATAATATTTTATAAGAAAAAAATATAAATAATCTTAATATAATTTATAAAAGACTCCAATTTCAATAATTTTTTATTTTAAAAAGCCATTAAAAAAATTGAAAAGTCTAAAATGAGATTTATTGGTTATACCTGTAAAATAGGAAATGGAATCCTAAATTAACCGTTAAAAAGGAAATGACGAAAAGGCCCCGAGGATGGGTTGAAGGCCTGGACTTATTTAAAAACAGACAAAACGGTAAATCCGATCATTCAGGTTTAAAACTAGAACATAAACCACCAAAAATAAGAGGTCACCCCGTTCCCGTTCCCGTTCCCGGTTGCCGGTTGCCCGTTCGTGGCTTCCCATTACTTATTTATTTATTCATTTTAAAATCCCATATTAATCCATAATCCATAATCCATAATTCTGTGAAGGGATTCTGGTTTTTGGGTTCCGAACATGTTTGGAGTTTTGATCACACGATGCCTCTTGTAAGTAATACTAATTTTTCATCTTAATTATTTATTCTTTAATTTTTTTTATTTTTTTTTCCCATTAAAATTAATTTATTTGGGAATTTTAATTGGTTTTTTAAGGATGGTTTTTGGGTATGCCTATCCGGCATTTGAATGTTACAAAACACTGGAGAAGAGCAGCCGAAGCCTCGACGTTGAATCGCTTCGTTTTTGGTGCAAATATTGGTAATTTTCATTTAAGTTAATTTAATTTAATTATTAATGGTAATTTTGTTAATTATTGTGTTTTAATTTGTTGTTTTTGTAGGATTATTGTGGCTATTTTTACATTTTTTGAGAGGATTGCTGATGTTTTAATTGCTTGGTATGCTTCTTGATTCTGGGTTTTATTTCTTTAATTTCTTGTAATATTTATTGTCTTATGCTTTTTTTTTTTTTTTAATAACCAAATCTTGGGAAGGCTTCCTGTGTATGGAGAAATGAAGCTGCTTTTTCTTGTCTACTTGTGGCATCCAAAAACCAAGGTAATGATCCAATCGAGTTCTGATGGAAGTGTAGTCCGTAAGTCTAATGAACATCTCTACTAATAATAATAATAATGGTTCAGGGGAGTGGGCATGTGTATGGAACGATGTTGCAGCCCTATTTGGCGAAGAATGAAGCAGAAATAGAGAGAATGACAGTGGAAATGAAAGTGAGGGCTTGGGACTTGAGTTACCTTTTTTGGACAAACTTCTCAGAAATGGCTCATGCTGGCTTCCTCAAAGTCCTCAAATGTGCTGCTGATTTCCAGTCCGCTAAGTTCAAGAACTCCCCCTTCATAATTCAGGTATAATACTAATCACTGTGTCTTTATCTCTATCTCTGGACAAGAAAATGATAATTGAATTAGTGTCTTTATCTATTGAGCTGGAAATGAAAAATTTTGGATGGGCTTGCATGATTGGAAAAGCCCAATAGAAATTGGGCTCAAGCCCAATGATGAGCCCAGCCCACTAGAACTGGTTTATGTGAATGTGTGGAATAATTAATCTGGATTACGCGTAAGATTCTGTTTTTAATCTAATAAAATGCTTAATAGATTTGACCACGTGGCAGAAATTGGGTGGTCCATTTTATGGTTTCAGTCGATAAATATTCTGCCCTAGTTTCGAATTACGATTCGACATTTTATTTTCAGTAAATTCTAATGAAATTGGACTCAGTTTCGTCGCCATTAATGGCATTTATAGCGATTCCGATCACTAATTCAAAGGTATTGTTCAGATTCCAAAAATCTTTGAGATTTTCACTAACGGTTCTTACTTTAATTGAAATCCAGCAGAGAGTCGATCAGAACTCGCCGATGGCGTCGCCAACGCCTCCGAACAAATTGCCCTCGTTTTCGTCCCGAGTCGCCGATAAGATGACCGATTCACCGAGAGGCGCGCCGCAGTCACCCGTCGGAATAGTCCGAGGCGATTCGGACATGACGGAAGCAGACGGCGGCCAGTCTCCGGACTTCTGTGAAACAGAGAGTTTCGTTAATGAGGAAGATAAACCTTCATCTCCATATCCCCCAGCGGTTCGAGCTCGCTTAAGGCGAATTAAACCACAATCATAGATGTTTGTAAATGTGAGAAAGCTGTACAAAAATGAAACGAAAAATGGAACGAATTCAGAGGGGAAGTTAATTGAAAATGGAATTCTATGTTGCGAATTTATTCGAATGTTGAAACTGTATCTATTTTTATGAATGTATTTGGAAAATCAATTCTCCTTAGAGATTGGATTTTGCTAATTTGTGCATGAAAATTGAAAATAAAAGCGATTTATACAGCGAAATCGAATCGATTTAGGTCAATTACAGAGGCTGAAGAGGTCGTCGTCGTCGTCGTCAATACGCCAATCCAAAATCCCGAGAAAACGACGCCGTCATATGCAAATGCAGGACCGAAAGACTCGGATTATTGACGGAATGATACAGCCTCTGATGAATCCGAGACAACTGGAGATCGGATTGCCGGTAGAGAATCGGAGCCAGAAACGGTGGAAAAGATTGGGGCCAGCGGAATAGGAAGAAGCGGACATAGGTTGGAGATAAGCCCAAGCGGCCTGCTTAACGAGGCGGTTGCGGATCAAGATTTCGTAGCCGGAGTTAGCGGGGGACGCGGCGGTGGGAGAGTTGACAGCGACGGCGGAGGAGGGAAGGATGTCCTTGAGGGAGGTGTAGGATTGAGAAGATGACTTGGAGAGGAGCCTCAAGTCAATCGGGGACGGCGGTGGAGCAGGGGAAAGGGTGCCGTTTTGCGGAGGCATGGCGGAGGAGGGAATCAAGCTTCTGCGGCAGAGATTAGCAGGTGATGGCGACGGCGACGGCGGTGGGTAGGTTTTCTGTGCGGCGGATTTGGCCATAGAACGTCGAAAATGTGTAGAGAGAGAAGATGGTTACGGTTTTAGTCAGAGGAAAAGAAAAACGTTGTGGCGAAAGAAAACACGGAGGCTTCGCCTTTGCAATTATTTGCAAACTTGTCTCTTTCTGACGTGTTTTCCTTTTCATTTTTTTAAATTTTAAATTATTGAAAATATTCCACAAATTTCACAAATATTCTTAATTTTGTTTTTAAAAACTCTTAAATATTTAAAAGAAAATCATTATATCTTATTTTAAATATAGTCTAATAATTTCTTAAATATCTTTAAATCGGAGTGAAACCCTCTTTAGGAATATATAGACCAGAGATTCTATTTTAACTTTGGAGGATGTTTTATGTCGATTGAATTATGTGCAAGTTACTTCTAAACAACATAATATTTTTGAGCGTGACCCAACAATATTTAAATCATTTTTAATAATTTATATTCTTATTTAGATAGACAAGGTGACTTGCCTCCCTCTACCAATAATTGATTTTTGGTACTCCAAACAAATAAATAAATAAAATTTTGTAAAATAATGTCCATATGGTATTCTTTTAATTTTATATATTTTTTTCATTAGAAGTTCGAAATTGTTAGGAGGCTTAGATAACCACACAAAACAAAATTATTATAATTGTTAACTTATTATTGATTAGTGACCTGTGGGTTCCATAACTTTGAAAAGTTTAATTTTGTTGGTAGACAGACTTTATCAAAATGACTATATTTTCGATTTTTTTTTTAATAGAAAAAATCTTATTAATTAATTCATGATTTGTGGGTTCATAACTTTAAAGAAAAATTTTATCTTGATTCTTAAATTTATGGGTTTTTTTTTAAATCTCAACTTTGATTGTGGGTTCGTTTTACATAGATTCTAATAAAAAAAAAATTAATAATGAAACAAAAATAAACCTAGATTTAAGTTTTTTTTAATTTATTTTAGAGAGTAAAGCAAGTTTTTCATAAACTCCAAATGAAGATGGAGTTTATCAATTTTCTTTCATTTTAAAGATTTTACAAAAATAAAAATAAAAATAAAAATTAATGTTAGAAGAAATAAATAAATAGATGAGAATGTACTAAAATTTACAAAAATATTTTAAAAAGATGAAAAGTTTGTGGTGGTCCAAAGCCAAACCCACCGCGGACCAATCAGAAATATTTGGACCCATCGTAGTCAGTTCTCCACCCAAGTTAGTGAAGACTATATAATATACTAAGATTTCAATGAAATAAAGTTGAAAACTATATAATATACTAAGATTTCAATGACATAAAGTTAAAGACTAAATAATATACTAAGATTTCAATGACATAAAGTTGAAGGAAGACTATATACTAAGATTTTACAGAAATAAATCTTAGGTGGAATCAAACCCATCAAATTTGACCAAATAAATATGTATTCAACCTCCCATTTTTCTTCCATTTTACATAAAACCTTCTAAATTTTCCTCCTAGTAAAAAAATGTGTTACATGTTTAGAAATAAAGCAATTCTATCAAAATCAATTTTAATTGTAGGTAAAATATGGCGTTAAATTGATTTTTGAATGATGAAAGGCTTGTTTGAGAGTGACTTCGAACATGAAAAATGTGTTTTAACCAAAACATTCAAAGAAGTTTTTGATAATAATAAATAGACTGTACCGAGGTCTATAGTAATCTATGGTTTCCATAATCCTTGGTTAACAACAAACTTTGTCTCAAAATTTCAATTAAATCAAACTATTTCTTCGCCTTATCAGAGATATCTCAAATCAAACCCCTTTATTGTTAAAATGGATTTGAAACTGAAGATGAAAAGTTTTACCAACGCATTGAAGCTCTTGGCGGCCTAATGATGTCTGGAAACCGATCTTACATGCGTCTGCCCATCTGCAACCTTACAAAAGTTTGTTTCTATTTCCTGAAATGATCCAAGTTCATAAAAAATCAAACAGAATAGAGGTCGAAAGAGATAGAAGCACAAGCATGTGTAAATACGAACCTCTGCACACCGCGTATGACTAGTCCTCGCAATTTATATTCTATACCATGCTTGGAAAATCTTCCCAGTACATTATTACTTGGGTTATAGAAATTACACTGAACAGTTGAGCTTGAGTTCCAGTACAATTCAACTGTTTGTTTGGCTATAAATCACATCTTGAGTAATGAGAATGGGAACAGATAATTAATGAATTAAAGTCAGACCTGTTCCTTTGTCACCTCTGTCTTAAGTTAACATCAGATGGTGCTTCGACTGTCTCCGAATGTGGGCTTCCTGGTCTTGGCGAGGATATCAAAAAGTCCTGAGAAACCATATGCGATTCATCCCATGCAATATCTGCTGTAGCTAAAGTGAAAGAATTCAACTCTATCGTCAGTTCTTTCTATGGTTTCTTTCCCTTTTCTGAAATTTATTATAAAAAAATATGAATAACAAGATGGTGGTATTAAATAAGGATACAATCTGTTCTCCACATATCTGTAATGCTAACTTCAGCATCTGATAACAGCCAGTAATCTGCATCATTCTGCAATCAAATAATAGGAGCATATAAAAAGCAATCAACAATGATCTGATCTCATGAATAATGATCGACCAAAGCCATTTGCACAGATCACGCATGTGAACACACACATATCATGTAATTCATTGTAGTGAAATGAGTTAAGACGAGTGAAGATAAGCAAGGTGTATTTTAGGACATGTATCCCAATCTATTCTCTTTATATTCCCTAGAAAAGCATGTCGTGGCATATTTATCTATGCTCTTTTTGACATTTTTGTCAATGTGAATAATATATTATACAAGGATGATTGCTTACATCAAATTCTGAAGGAATAATCTTCATCATTCCCCCAGGAAACTCATTTGAACCATTCACATCACTGCTACTGCTGTATTGGGACAGGTGAGCTTGAGGCTCTATTTCGTCTCTACTACTCTCCCCAATGGCTTCTGTTGCTAGATGTTCGTTTGATCCTGAACTGGAAGCATGTAGGAAGTTCCTGGGTGGCTTGACCACATTCACCTCCTCAAACTTTTCCTCAAATTGACTACGAAACAAGGAGAATTTTAATACGAAAAAACAATTAAATTCTTGTTTGCATAAGAAAGGTTACAGTTACTAAATAAGAAAAACTGAAAATATAGAAAAATGGATATTATATGAATAATCATTTAATTAACTCTTCACGGAATGTGATCTATAAGAATCAGCCTCTAAAGAGAATAACACAATGATGTAGGGAAAAGGATACCTGACAAGATATACATCGATAGGACCCATCGTACTCCTAAGAACTATCCTATATCTTCTCTGTGGATAATCAACAGCCTAGAATGATGAAAATAAGAACGTGCTTTCAGCTATCAGAAAAGGGGACCAAAAAGGATATGGCGCATAACAAATAGCTTTCTTAAAACTTTAAGCTCATTACTTCATCAGGATCAGGAACTTCCAATGTGGTTCCATGAGGAGCTTTAATTGCTATCAGCGTTTCATTCTGCTCAAAAAAGGAGGGCTAGTTTAAGTTTTAGCAAGGTTTTCATATAATGAACTAAACGTGTACGGTTTCATATAAAAGTTACTGTAAAAAATATTAATATATAGCTAAAGCTCCATCCGATCATCATCTCATCATTATACTAAGAAACATTAATTTGATAGAACTCAAAGTTGGACCTAGTTTGCCTTTAAACAACTAGTGTCTCAGAAGTATGACCCTAACAAGTGTCCTATACGTGTTCAGCTAGTGCGAGGTGTCCAACACGTGTTAGACATGGATACGCTAGCTAAACTGAAGTGTTTGTGTTCGTTAGGACGATATAAATAAATGTTAACATTAGAAGTAATGTTCGAGCTCAAATAAAGTATTTATGACAAGTTCACCTGAAAGCAAGGCAAGCTTTTAATGTCTTCTTCTGTCACAAAGAGCCATCTATCATGATTGGAAACATATGCAATGTTGTTATTTTATTCATATAGCACTAAGTGGAAATGGAACAGAATGGAGCAGAAAAGAACTTTTACTTCTGGAGATTTTCGTCTTCACTCAGATTCCTCAGTCTTTCCTGCAATGTTCTGCAATATAATTATGGACATGAGTTTATCATTTTTTATTCAAGATATAGATATGAATGACAGAATAAATATGCAACCTTATCTTATCATTTAATCTACGCTCTTCAAAAGAAAGGTTTTCAACATCCACCTGCAGGATACAA